TGTCCTCGCTCAGCTCGCTGTTCATTCAGATTTTCCGCCAAGTCTCCGGCGTCTGACGTCACTTACAGCATTTCCGGTCAGCAGCAATTTGACTGGCTTCGATGGTATTGACAATATCAGACAAGTAACCTGGTGTTGATGTCACTGATTATCGCCTTTGTCGGGGAAGTAGGCTACACACAAAGCAAGATAATAATGTGGTATTTGGCTTTCAGTTCAGGCTTCTAGCCTGAACTTTTTGTATGATACGCGGAGGTTTCATTGTATGTAAACGTTTGTTATAATGATGGTGTGAGGCTATGGGTTGCCGTAAGTTTGTGAACCACTGCTTTAGACAGTCGGCAAGTTTTAATGGCAGCTGTTTAGACTGTTATCTAAATATTGTTTTATCATGTTCTCAGGTTTTCTTTCATCTGCAAAAATTGAAGTGCCCCACTTTGTGCCGGATGCATGTGTGCTTGTCTGTGTGTGTAGGCAATTCAATATTTATTTATTTTTTTTAGATATCACCCAGTCCTAGGTCAGGATTAACTTGCTTTTAACTGGGTGCTGTAGACCATTAAAGTAGTCCTTCAGATTGCAGGTTGGGAAGAGCCCCAAATGTGCCCCACTTTTTCAGTTCTTTCAAAAAACATAAACCAGGATCACTGGCATGGATGAGCTGATTATTTTCAGTTTTTGCATGTTGTCAGTGGCTGAATTCCTCCAGTAATGCAGTGGCATATTAATGTATATAAAACTTGGCATGGTTTTTCCCTTGTATGATTTTTAATGCCAAACTTCCCTCCCGCACTGAAGGCGTTTCATTATGGAGCAAAGCGGGAGTTTCACACATCAGAGGTTCATCACTTTTATATTCTTGGTCATGGGCTGTTGAATGTTATTGGTATAATGAATGACACTAATGTCTAAGCTTCTTTTGTCTTTTTGCTTTTAGCCAATTCAAGCAGGTAAAAGTGAGGGAAAACCCAGTGTTCATATTAAATTTAAACATCATTAATTGGTTACAAGATGCACATTCTAATCATTAGTATTTGGCTGAAATATTCGATTCATATTGCACTAGCATGCGTTGTTTGTGACGTATGCTAGCTTACCTTCCAGGTCAGCAGGTCAGCTGTGGACAGTCAGCCAGCTGTAGCTTTATGTAAAACCACAGAATGCTGAAATGCTTTCAGATAAAACACAGATGTTTGGTTTTTATAGCACAATATATGGTGTGTAAGCACACTGCCTATGCTTTTCTCTTGTATGGGCATACCCATATTTCGTTTCTCACCAAGCACCAGCCATTTGTGCCTCCCCCGTTAAGGAGATAGTGTCAGTTGGTTTTGAAACACACTGAGCTTCTCAGAGTTAGCAGTTTGTTCAGAATAATCATTGCTCTGTCTGGCAGGTAAGAGAACCTAAAACACATTTGTAAGGCTGTGTCATATTGACATTTATAAAGATAATTGATCATGATTATGATACATCGACTCACTCCACAGAAATGGCTTGGTACAACCTTAATATCAACCATACTGCCATTATTTAAGGTGTCCCTTTACCTACAGGTTGGCCTGCATGATGTCACATCACGATGTAATTGCGATTATATGGCGCTTGTGCAATAATCACCAGGGCTTTAAATAACAGGCGAAACATTTGTCCAGGCGTTGACTTTTCGGTACTATAGGGACATTAATTTACGCCCACAATTTGGTAAGTAGATTACCAGTACGCCTAAAATATTAAGGAGATAAGTACTGTGACGCCCAAAAGTTAGTAATCTATATAAATTCGGCGTATCCTTATGTTTATTAAATTCAGTTAGCATGTCGCATGCTATGGTTCCTGTAAATCGTAGAAGCGATAAGCACTGAAGTGGCGGTGAAGAAAGGGACAGATGAACAGCCATAATTTTTAAATGGGGAAAAACAAGGTAAAAAGTCTGCGGTGTGGTGGTACTTTTTGCAGTTTAATGTCTGACACGTTTATTAAACACAAAGAACTATAAATTCAGTGTTACTAACTTTAATGTTTTAGTCGTACTAGGAATCCGCTTACCAAATTGTGAACGTACTGTAAGTGAACGTCTTTAAAGTACCGAAAAGTCGGTTTCCGGATAAATATTTTGCCCGTTATCTAAAGCCCTGGTGATTATTATGCATGCAGCATGTAATCGTGATGTGATACTGTGCAGCCCTACCTACAGGTAAGTTATTCATCTTCAGCATCATGTAGAAGTTTGTATTGGCGTTAAATGCTAGAATGACTAAGTGTGGTACTAGTGGAATTTTTTGTGGTTGAAGTTCAGCTGCAAATGGAGAACCAGGAGATTGAACTTGCTCCTCAATCTGTTCCTCTCATACAGTGGCCAAGCCCACAGTGGGGAAGGTCGTCACCCAGTTTGTGGTCAACAAGTTCAACTCGCTACAGCAAAGGCTGCCCATCATTAGCGCTCCCCAGGTGGCGGGCAGCCTCCAGAAAGTGGCTCTGCCGTCCGGCCACCTCTTGGTGGTCGGTCCCTCCCTCCCTAGTCGAAGCCCTCAGACAGAGCAAGGGGTGCAGGGTGCGACTGCTGCGTCCACAGTGATATCCCCAAGCAAGCTGCCTCGGGGAGGCAGTAGTGTCCAGGAGCCTGCCTCCCCTAACAGCAGTAATGTTCACCCCACTTCAAGCTCCTCTGCAGCCGCAGGCTCTTTTGGCACTGCTGGTGTCATTAACGTCCCCCCTATCACCCTCCTATCTGTCCCGCCCGGTCTCCAAAGGGGTAAGCCTCCTTCCTGCTGCCTTTTGTGTATGCGCGCTGTGTGTCAGCCCCCAGTTCCATCTCCAAACGTCTTGTTTACCGGCAGCCAATCAGATCCCAGGGTTGTGGTACATTTCTCCCATGCTCAGAAGTCACGGGCAGACCTATATGCTTGGATTTCACCTGTTCTTTCATCAGCCGAAGCCCTTTGAGCTCTTGCATTCCATCGTGGTATCCTGTACTCATTTGTTGAACCACATGCTGTCTGTGAACTTCAGCATGCTTGCTCTGTGTTGTTTTTGAAGGGAGTTGCTAAGTTCTTTCTGTAGTGCATGTGCAGTCCTGCTTTGGGTAAATTGCCCCATTGAGTCCGTTAATTGCAGCCCTGTTATTTTGTTGTATTTTTAGAAGAGACCTCACCAACCAAAGGCACTGTGGCCAAATCCCCCGGCAGTGCTGCTGCTCCTCCTCGAATGCTCCTGATCCCCGTCTCTCAAGCTGTCCCAACAGTCCGTCCAGCCACCACGGCAGCCATCACCCCAGGGCAGAAGATGATACTGCAGCCTGTGCGTGGCACGACGGGCACAAACCTCTACCGGCACCCCAATGGGCAGCTGGTGCAGCTGGTGCCTCTTAGCCAGCTGCGGGCCATCCAGCCCAACCTAGTCATCCGCAGCCCAGGTACGTGTTTTGCTTTTGCACCTCCTGTTACAATGGAGAATTGATACATTTCAGATTTTTTTTTTTATGTTATACATTATTTATTCTAAATATTGTAAGTTTGGGTCTAAAACTGAAGGAACATTATGCGATTAGGCCTGTTGTAATAATGATGTTGTTGACATATCACACATTATACAACAGTTAGTTCTGACCAAGGAATCTGTTTAAAAAAGAGGCGTTCTTTGAGTATGGTTACCACACTCAGACATTTCACATCAGCTGTATCACTCCGCTTTATAGGTGTATCTAAAAACGGTCACACATGCCTCATTTCCACCAATACAGTGCCTTTTGAGAACCTGCCTGCATTTCCAGCTGTTTCAAAAATGAACGTAGGTGGAATTCAGAGTAATGGTTCATATGTGTTCTGTTTTGTCGGATTTATTTTGATCTGTTTCGGATTTTAAGTTTTTATAAGCTGCCAAACCGTAAAAAGGTTTTCAGAGTATGAATCGTTGCTCTCTGTATCCTGCCTGTGTCCACTTTTGTCTCAAAGCAGGGGTGTGCAATCTTATCCGCAAAGGGCCGGTGTGTATGCAGGTGTTTGGGATAACCTGTAGGTCAGCTGTTCAAACCCAGGTGTGAGGACTCTTCAGCCAATCAGTCCTCTAATTAGTAATTAGTAATCAGCGGAAACCCGCATACACACAGCGGCCCTTTGCGGATAAGATTGGCCACCCCTGTCATAGAGGGTAGAAAAGGTATTCATATACAATCTTTGGTCTGACTTCTGACTTCCTGTTACTTTTCCCCTGGCCAGTGAACTATCGAGGTTTGCTTGCGTCACTGAGCAGATCCTCCACAGAACTGGCTTGGCAGTATATTGCCTCTTAAAGGATGAATGTCTCTCTCTTCCTGTGGCAAATGTTTAATATTTAGTGCAGTTTTCATTAACAGAGCCCTCGAGTGCATTTCATGTATTTTTTGTTTGGTTTTATTTGTTTTATATAGGATACCTACATTTTCTGACTGTATGCTTGCATTATTGTACTATTATATCGGTGGCATAAAATGGTGTTAAAATGACAATAATATTTACCAGTTATTTCTGGGATATTATATTTTGTCCACCAAAAGTTATTGTGACCAGCCTAAATCTGACAAATGGAACTCAATCTCATATATCGCAGTGAGAGAAATTCTAGTTTTGATTTTTGTTTTTCAGGTGGAGTCGTCCGCTTGCCTACACCTTCTGTCACTGTGTCAAACCCAGCCATTTCCCCCACCTCCGCTAACAAGCCCCCACTAGCCACTGCTGTCACCAAGGTCATCACAGCCACCTCTCCAACTCCAGTCGTAAACCAGTCCCCAACTGGCAGCATCCTCACCAGCACTGTCACTATCCAAGCCACCTCCCCTACCACACTTCCAGAGTCACCTGGCTGCAGCTCTGACGGAGTCACCAAGACGACCCCATCCACTCTGGCTACTTCACCTGCTTCTGCACCTAAACTCTCTTCCCTCTCAGGTGCTACAGCCTTTACGCTCAGCACCCTCACTCCGTCCCTCAAAACCATTCCTGGATTTCTCGGTCAGACTGGGACCTACACAGTCAGAATTGCCCCGGGAACCAAGGAGTCCAAGGTCATCACCCTCAATCCAACAGGATCGCTACCAAATTCTCCAGAGGTTCTCTCTGGCCAGAGTGGTTTCACCTTGCTTCAGATTCCAAAACCTGCTGTCACTGTAAAACCCACTGTAAGCCAAGTTGTGATCACACCAACGAAACCAGACGTGGTCCCCGATATATCAGCAAAGAATGACACTATCAGCTCCCCTTCCTCAAAGGACCAGGCTCCTGAGATCCACGAGGATAAAGATCCTTCCCAGGATGCCCCAGTGGCACCAGTCTGTGCCGATCACTCCTATACTAGTGATCAAGACTCGGAAAAAGAGTCAAAGGCTAGTGCAGATGATGGCTCATTTGCTGCTGGCTCTACTCTGGAGAAACCAAGCTCTGTCAGTTCTGCAGCAAGTCCAACCACCAAACCAAGTGAAACCATTCTCAATTCAGGGCCCTCCACTATGGTTGGCCAGCAGCCACCCAGCCTCATGGTCCCAGTAATAAACATCTCAGAGGTCATCAGTGCAGTATCCACTGCTGAAAAGTGCTCCCAGGAGTCTGATTCGGAGTCACCTTCTGGGGCTGCAGTTCCCGGGCCAGTGGATACGAGTTGTGATGTGTTGCCGGTGGAGCGGGAGGTCATACCCAAGGCGTCCCAGGAGAAGCGGCTCTTGGAAGAAGGAGAGGTAGAGGTGGAGGCAGACATGGAAGTAACTGGGGAATCGGAGGATTTGACTGACGACTCTGATGAAGAATCTGAAGATGAGAGTATCGGCTTAGCCATGGTAAAGGAGCATCCATTAAAATGTTTGCCCACAAAACCTTGGCAATCAAGGAAGCAATCAAGATGTTTGCCTGTGCACAACAGAAAACTGTATGAAAAATTGAATTTGTTTTTCCTTCCAGGACCCAGAAGACAGTGAGGAGGATGAATCTGTGGATATTGAGACCGTAGAAGAGTTAACAGAAAAAATCAACATTGCACGAATGAAGGCAGCTGCTATGCAGATGAAGTTGGACAAAGTGTAAGATATCAGACCGACGTGTAACTGATTTCCCACTGCATACAAAAGTACGTTCCAGACAGTGGTTCTGGAAACAGTTTAACAAGGTTGCAACTTTGTTTCTCTTTTTCAGACTCATGTATGAAAACAAGACAGTGATCGAATCCAAAGAATCGGTAAGTGTGCCGTGATTCTGCAGGATTAATGGCAGTGCAGAGCCCTGGTTAACACCAAGCCAGCAGTGTGTGACTGTTTGTATCATATGACAACAGGCGCAGAAGAGACGGGAGGAGACAGATGTGGAAGAGCAGGCAAACGTGGCGGGCCGCATCCAGCACAACGTAACAGAGCGGCGGCGACGCACTGAGCTCCGGGGGCTCTTCGAGAAGCTGAGGCACATACTGGGCCTGCATCACATGCCCAAAGCCTCCAAGTACTTCATACTGAAACAGGTGAGGGGGTCCAGAGACCTTCCTGCAGTGTGGAATACCACGCCTGCCTTAGGTATACGTGTTATATTTTGTCTGAAAAACATTTGTAACAAAGGCAACCCAAAGTATGTTGCACAGCTATATCTAAAGGAGGAGTCCAGTTTTTTAAATGTTTATAAAACTTTACATGACTGTAACCACTGTGGCATTTTGGGGGACCTCCACCTTTGTGGCTACTGCAATTCTGTTTGCATTTTTTTTCAGCGTAGAGCTTAGATCAGAATGCTCTGTTTTCACTCATTTTTAGGCTAATGGCGAAATACAGGCTTTGGTGGATCAGAATGACCACCTGGAAGAGAGAAAGAGGTTGTTAAATCGACAACGTTCTACTTACATCAAGAAGATCTCTCAGACATCTGGTATGACATGGCTCTCATCCCTTATTCCACTTTGCCTTCCCCACGGTCATGGGATCTTAGTGCTTGTTATGATACAGCGACTAACTGACGCGTTCTGCAGGAAAGACAGAGGAGCTGATCATCAAGAAGCTACAGGACATCTGTGCCAAACAGAAGAGCTTGGAAGCTCAGAGGAAGAAGAAGGCTGGGGTGTCTGTGGACCCCAAACCTAGCAAGCCAAAGGTTTCACCACCTGCAAACATGGAGAGCCTGTCCAGACCATATTCTTCATCGAGGAGGCCTAATATTTTATCCCGGAGAAAACTCCCAGTGTCTCAAGGTCTGACTGCTGCATGTGGACACCTGTCACTTTAGCATTTGCCTTAATTCCGATTAACTTCCATTTCTTAACCTCTTTAATTAGGCCTCTGTCCACTTGAAGTTCCCTTACATTAAGTTGGTTATTAATTACTGCAGTTTTGCATCCAGTGATTCTCTCAAACTTTGGGGGAACTTTACTGATCATCTGTGGTTTTGACGTTTACAAAATTATCAGGTCTAACTTAGAAGGCTGCACGGGAATGGGGAAAGTGGTAATATCACCGATATCCATGGGAATGGGAGAAGAAAAAAAATATTCCCACAGTAACAGCGGGAATGGAGATGATCTTTATGGTATTCCCATGGGGATGGTAATAAAATGTCTGGTAACACTGTGGTAATGGTAATGAAATTGCTTGTATATGCATATATACACTATATTGCCAAAAGTATTAGGACACCTGCCTTTACACACACAAACTTTAATAACATCCCATTCGTAGGCTTTAATATGGAGTTGGCCCACCCTTTGCAGCAATAACAGCTTCAACTCAGACATTGATGCTGGACGAGAAGGCCTGCCTCACAGTCTCTGCTCTAATTCCTCTCAAAGGTGTTCTATCGGGTTGAGATCAGGGCTCTGTGCAGGCCAGTCAAGTTCCTCCACATCAGACTCGCTCATCCATGTCCTTATGGATCTTGCTTTGTGCATTGGTGTGCAGTCATGTTGGAACAGGAAGGGGCCATCCCCAAACTATTCCCACATTGGGAGCATGAAGATGTCCAAAATGAATTTGAGTGCTGCAGCATTGAGTTCCTTCCAGTGGATCTAAGGGGCCAAACCCAACCCCTGAGAAACAACCCCACACCATAATCCCCCCTCCACCAAACTTTGCACTTGGCACAATGCAGTCAGGTAAGTACTGTTCTCCTGGCAACTGCAAAACCCAGACTCATCCGTCGGATTGCCAGACAGAGATATGTGATTTGTCACTCCAGAGAACACGTCTCCACTGCTCTAGAGTCCAGTGGCGGTGAGCTTTACACCACTGCATCCATGGCTTTACATTGCACTTTGTGATGTAAGGCTTGGATGCAGCTGCTCAGCCATGGAAACCCATTCCATGAAGTTCTTGATCTAATCTGAAGGCCACACGAAGTTTGAAGGGCACAGTTGGTGACCTCACCATGTGCGCTGTGATTTTACGTGGCATACCACTCCGTGGCTGAGTTGCTGCTGTTCCCAATTGCTTCCACTTTTTTATAATACCACTAACAGTTGACCGTGGAATATTTAGTAGCGAGAATTTCATGAATGGACTTATTGCACAGGTGGCATCCTATCACGGTACCACGCTTGGATTCACTGAGCTCCTAAAAGCGACCAATTCTTTCACAAATGTTTGTAGAACAGTCTGCATGCCTAGGTGCTAGGTTTGATACACCTGTGGCTATGGAAGTGATTGGAACACCTGAATTCACTGATTTGGAGGGGTCTCCCAATACTTTTGGCAATACAGTGTATTCTTATAGGCCAATCTGCTGTATTATACATGTTCTTTTGTTCTGTTAAATTATTTCTCACCCCAACATTACCTGTTTAGCAGTGTAGCCTGGACTGTACAGGGCTGTTGAACAATTTGTCTAAATACAGGAGAAACAAGCTACTATCAAACATGGAAAAGACATAAGCAAACTTTTTCAATACTTCCAGATGAGTTTGAAGGTTTTTCTGTTTCAGAATAAAACTGTTTGGATGATTTGGTCTGTATAATGCGAAATAAATGTTTGAGGAGTGCCAAGTGAATAATTTAAGACATTTAAAGGAAAATATGTTTAATATCACACTATTGTTGATAACCTGATTATAAACCATTCATAGACCCTTTATAAGGGTAGTCTTATTGTAATGTGGTACCTGTTAACTTTAAAAAAAAAAATAAAAATTGACCTGGGGATGTATTTGAACAAGCACAAGGAGCCGCAAAACAGGCTTGGTGGCGAGATGATCCTTAAAGTAAGCGATAATATTCATCATAGTAAAAAGATAGTAAAAGCTCATTAAAGCCTTTTTTTCAGCTGTATTGCTTTTTCCGTTCACATTTGTTTGTGGATAAAAAGTTGTACTCCTATTTATTAAGTAAATAGGGCAGTGGCTAGAAATGTTGCACTTTTTTGTGAAGCATTACCTAAGCAAGGATTTTGTGTAAATAATATTACTGCACATAGTACAGTATTACTATGTACTCTAATTCTGCTTTACCTCATTTTTGACGTGACTGGCTAGTCGTAGTGCCCTTAACAGGGCTGAGCCAGGAAGTATAGCAACAGCCCAGACAGAAGGGGAAGGGCAAAAACTGCATTCTGTACCATAAAAATTGGTTTAGACATTAGTACGCGGTGAAGGAACACTGTCTTGTAATTTGGCAGCATTCGCCATAACAAAGGGTATATTTGTAATGATTGTTTGTTGGGGTTTATCATTTGTGTATTGAGTTGAGCTGTATCAACACCCATGCTCTCTGCTTTCAGTGGTGCCCACCGCATCGGTGTCTGCGAATGATGGGTCTCTTGTCTCAGGACTCAATGCTGTGGTGTCAAACCAGCAAGGTCTAACTGTCAAGAGTCCACTGGAGCCCATCACGACACTTCTACAGCCAAATAAGATAACTGGCAGTGGAGTGGTGCTTTCCCCTGTCCCTGGTAAGCTCTGACATGGTCTGGGCTGACGCGTTTCACCACTCTCCCCCGGGAATTGAGCACTGCCGTTTCTTTGTGCCCAATCTTTAATAAGGTGTCTGATTCCTGTAGGTTAAGGTCCACTTAGGTCAAGTACGCATATTGATAAACATCCCCTGTCTGGCACCTTTTTTGGGCCACTGAAAATATCCCGCAGCAAACTGCAAATATTAGGAAATTGGTGTTTCCCAATTCATTACAGCAGGCAATTAGAAATTTCCTCAAGGACTACTTTTCAACTGACTGAAATGAAGGTGATAGTATTGTAGTATGGACCTGGTGTTTTGTGTGTCTTTTTGCTGTGCAGAAATAGGATTGAGCTGAACAGGATTGATAATAAGAAGAAAATTGACTGTACTGTTTTTCTGTCCATTTTAGGTGTGGCTTCAGTGACAATTAATGTCCCAGGAGTGTCACTTCCGATTCAGGTCAAGAGCCCACTTCCTGATGCTTCTGTTTCATTGTCAAGTCAACCTACAAGCAAAAAAAACAACTCGGAAGGTAGAATTACCTTATAATGTTTTGCTAAATTTACCATGAAGACATTTAGCAGTCTTCCAATGATTTTGTTGGGCCTTGCTCTCTTAAGAACATTTGCATTGCCCTTTTTCAGTTGCAGCACCGAAAAATTTAACCATCACTAAAATCATAAATATCAAGTCAGTTCTGCCCTCTCCACAAAGATCAGAGCAAAGTGATCAGAATTCATCCAAGTCCACCCAGCACCTTGCCTCCTGCCCGGGGCCTGGTCCTGAATCAGGAGGAGATCTGGAGGGAGCCACCCAAGAAAAACGGGGCTTAGAAGATGGAGAAGTGATCGGAGACCAGCTTTCTTGTGACAGGCCGAGGGTTCCCACAGAGGAACCGACGGTTAATGGCATAGGTACCATCAACCAAGATGAAGAGGACGATGACGACACAGATGATGATCCTGAAGATGAGAGGCTGACATCACTGCTCAATGAGATCGCTTTCCTCAACCAGCAAACGAACAGTGAGGACTCTGAGGGCACACAGTCCCAAACACAGAGGGTCAAGCATGCCCTGCAAAGAGGGGAGACTCTCAACCCTGAACCGGTGGATCATGGGAAGGGACATGAGGGCGATGATGAACGCTCCCTCAGCCCACTCTTCCTCCAGCTGGATGAGGACCTGCTGGGATCAATGGAGGATCAGTCGGAGGAGAAATTACCTCGAGCAGGAGCAGATGATTTGGTCAAAGTATCTTTTGGATCGAGAAATCAACCAGAACATAAACGTGATGCAACTGTGGCCAATGGCCTTCGACAAAAGACCCCTCCCAGCTCTGTTAAAGCGGGGGCTCTGACTCCACCCCCCCTCCTGCAAATGAAAGCTGGAAATGCTGCAGTGTCCGCAGACTCGAAGTCCAAAGGTGGTGAGAACGAAAGCGAGGTCTCCTGGAGGCCCATGCCACGGCTTGCCCCATTGGGACGAAAGATGAGCAATCCAAATCAGGACATGGACATGGGGGTCAGGACCCCCCCAGACCCTCTAAATCAGCATAAAGATAACACTCAGAACACCACCTGATAGTCTTCCTTGTGAATCACCAAACCAATCAGGGAGAACTATTCAGATTTATGAATGTTTGTTTGATCTAGGGCTTGAGATGTATGTGTGTTTTGTTTTTATGTTTCCTCCTTCCCTCTCCCACGAACTTTTACCCAATGTGCCTAACAAATCCAAATGAGAATGTGCCCCCCCTCCTCTGCAGTAATGGGGGGAAACTGAAATATGTCTCCTTCCTGCTTTGTCAGTAAAGTTGGCTTTTTAATTTTTTTTTTTTTTTTTTTTTTGCAAGGGGAGGAGATGGGAATTAATCCTGTGTTTCATTTGAAACTGTTGTTTGTCCTATAACATTCTTGCAAGAATTTATGATCATGTGTAAAGGACGGTGTTTGCTGGTGTCCTCTGTTCTGGAGACGATTTAGGAGTATGGAAAAGCAGCAGAACCTAAAGAACATGGCTTTGTTGTGACAGACTGTGTTTTATGGTACTGAGTATGTGTTGTCTATGGACAAAATGCCAATTTGCAAAATTGCTTTGTTTTGCTAACTAAATAGTGGAAATAAATGCAGACCTGCAGGTCATTGTGTATGCATATGACCTTTCTGTGAGCTGCATAGGTCGAACTCTGAGCGTGACATCAAACACTTAAGTGTTCAGTGTGTAAACCTCATAGTAACAAATAACTATGTTCATACTAGTCACCCCACATGTGCACTAGTAACACTGAATACTATAACAGTAGCATTTCTAGTTAAGTGTACCATTCAAAACCATTTTTTCCCCATTGTATGTTTATGAATTAAGGAGACTTGACACCCTGTTTCATATCCTAGAGAAATGTTTTCAAACATTCTAGTCTTGCTCAAAAAAATAAACAAGATTTCCTGAAAACAATAAATAAAATTTAAACGTTGCATAAAAGGTTTTGATTGTAGAATGTCATGCACAACAGACAGAAGGAAATTGATGCTAATATGCTTTGTCTAAGAACACCTTAAACTTGACAGGCTGGCTCTAGATATATCTTTGTTTAGATGGATTGTATGGTGGTTGCACTCAAGGAGCTGGTATGCTGTTTGAACTGGTCTGTTGGGAATTGGAATGGAATCCAGAAATCTTTAAAATCTATGATGTCATTGGCATTGTATTTATTTTTTACCATTATCAGCCACACATTTTAGATTGTGTGTGTTTGTATTTTTAATTTCCCAGCAAAATATGTCGATTGTTCAGGTCCAGAAAGTAAAAATCCAGACCAATTTTTTTCAACCAAGTAGTTGAGTATATAGAGTACTCGGCTGGTTGGTTGAAGTAAAATTTTGGTCTAGATTCTTACTTGCTGGACCTGAACGATCCACCTCTGAAAATGCGTGTCCTTACTTCTGCTCTTTGGACTTCAGGCTGGGTAAGATGGTACACAGGATGGACAAGAATTATGGGAGAGGAAGCTGACTGAGTTTGATTGAAATCTGGTTTAAACACATTTTGATGATGAACAGCCTTTATACTGCTCTGGTAAGGCTGACTTACTTTCTCAAAGAACAATTAATACAAAGCTGTACCCATGTGTGCCTGACTTGCTTTATTTTTTATCATCAGTTTCAGGCGGCATAATTTCATGGATTTTAAGTTTCTGTCCATTACATGGAATCTGGTTGCATCACTGCGGAGTTAAAAAGCTAGCAAATATGTATGATTTTATCTGTAAAGAGGTGAATATGTAAAATGTATATCTATAAAATTAACCATAAGCTATCATGCAAAGTGTGCAACGAGAAGGTCTAGCATGGTATAAGTAGAATTAAAAGCCATCTGTTTCATTGTGTATCAAGTCTTTTTTTTTTTTTTTTATTCAAGAAATGCATACTCTTGTATTTTGTGAGACCAATGTTGATACTTTTTTTTTTATCATTACCCAGGTCTTTTTGGAAAAACAAGGGTGTTTTCTCTTCCAGGTTTTTGTATGAAAAGTGACAATATTTTTATATCTACTAGCCAAGATCCAATAATGGTTAGAAGGAAAGGCAATGTGGTCTTGAAATAAAATAAAACTATGTATTTGTGCGGGGTTCTGTCTTTCACACAGCTATCTCGTAGATTTCAATGGGCATTTTCTCATTTTAACTTGCATTTATTAAGAAGCCATTGTCACACTTCATAGTGGTATTTGGTGAGTAAGGAAGTAGCATCATGGCCTTTTAAGGCTCAGCTTAGGAAAGGTGGGTAGTAAATGGCTCCTCGGCATTGCCAGCTTAAAGCATACTGATGTAGCTGCTCATTGACAAGTTCTGGTGACATTTGTCTTAAATTAAGGTTCTTCGTTTGGTGCTTGGGTGGGCAAGAACATGATTTCCATGCTACAGATTTGAAAAGCAAGGTATATGGGAAAAAAAAATGATTTTGGGATTTATGCTTGCCACTATCCTTAAGCCACATGTGTATTTTAAAATAGCATATGATAAGCAGTTAAGTTGCTTAAGACGGTTAAATGGGTGTAGTGAATTTTAACCAAAAAAAGATGTTTTGGCATCTTAGAACTGTTAAGTCCTGTTGCATCATGTCAATAAGGACAATGAGAGTAAACGAACGGCAATAACAACAAACCTTTAATTTTCCAAATTATCCAGGTTAGATGTGTGAATTACCCCACCAGTGTACAAAAAGTTAGTTTAATCAGCAAAGAACACGGTGTTCTGACTGAATGAACAGATGTGTCGCAGGTACTGAAGCCGTTTAACAAACTTTAAAGTGCTGCTAATTCATTTATTCCATTTGTGCAGGAACTGGATAGAGCACATTGTGCAGGACTGTATCACCACATGGAGGAATGTTTAAAATACATTTTGCCTTTTTACCATTTCTTGTTACTGCTGGTCACCCTCGGAGACCCTCTCAGCTGGTGGCCTTGTCCACAGCCCTCCCTGCCATGGAGGGTCGATACCATCAAGGTGCTAACTGGCCATCAGTGATCTGACCAATTCAAACTTGGACTGTGTACCGCGTGTTTACTGATGTGGGCCGCGTGTCTGTATCTTGCATAACACAGTCAGCTTCACAGCACCATGTTTTTCTGCGCTGGTAACGCTGATAAGTTACTGGCCTCCACTCGCTCCCTGCTGCTGTGCGCCTCCAGCACTGGCCCGCACTGGCCCGGACCCTCTTGTCTTCCCTGCGCAGTTGGGCTCAGCGTCCTGGAATGGCTGCAGGAAGGGAAAAGATCCAAGGTGGCACCCCAGGTGGGGCCTGTCACTTTGGTCCAACTTCAAGTTGATTTAAGAGACACAAACTGCACTGGATTTCCTGATTTGGATTTATTGAGCTCTGTGTGAAATACAAAATTAATGTCCTGGTGTAGAACATGACACCACCCCCCATAATTCTCAATAGAGTAAGTGCAAGCTTCAGCAATTGTGTGTGTGGCATTAAAATAAGGGGAAAACACTAGAATTTTTGTGTTTAATGGGTATGAGGTGAGTTTGTGACAATAAAATTCATGCTGCCTGAGGTGCACTTCAAAGTGCTGCTGAACTTGTGTATTTTTTAATGTAGCTAATGAAAAATGTGTATGGAGTGTGTATGTTCTCCCTGTGTAACTTTTGCTGCATGCTCTCCTCCTGTAGTCCAAAGATATGTCACTGGGCTAACTGTCTCTTAATCACTCAAAGCATGATTATGTGTGGCATCCTGTCTAAGATGTACTCCAGCCTAGTGCCCTACCCACCAAACGCAACTGGTCTATCACTACCCTGCCTAGGATGGTTTCTTAAAAAGATTTATTACACAAAAAATACACGTAAGAAATCTATGGTTGTTATGAAAGTATGTCAATGAACAAAACATCTACCTCCCAACTGAAGTCGAACGATAAAAAAAATATATATATGTGTCGTCAGAAATAAACCGTGGCGAACCGGCGCTTGGCCGCCTCTAGATGGCGATGTCGGCGAGCTTCTAAGCCTCTGCGAGGGACTTTGCCTTTGATTGAGCATTTTTGAGCCATTCTGGTTGCCATAGAAAGTGGTGCGACTGGGGGCTGGGGTCGAAACAGGACACGTTAACTCGAGTTTAAAGAGCCTATCCTGCCCCTGGGGCAGCAACAAGAAAACTGAATTTAGTATGAAAACTGTTGCTTACGATCCAATGAATAAGGACGGCGTATTGGCATCTAGATAGTGAAGTAGAAAAGTTACTGGCCCCTCCCTCAGACCAAAGAAAATACGAGCTGTCTGTAACAAAGGTTTGGAATAACACAAAACATACCAAAACAACCTTGACGAATGCTTTACAAAATGTTATTACCCATATTGTATCAATCTGCAGGTAATCGCATTTAATCAGTCGAACTGTCGCAACGGAGAGGTTTAAAATACTCAGTGCACCAATGGCTCATTTAATTACACGTATCCTCTGACAAGCTAACTGATACGACCTCAGCATATTTCGTTGTTGTGGCGTTTGGATCATCTTCAGCTGATATCAAGGCAGTTTAAGAATAAAAAACAATGGCAAATTACCCCTTCAGCCCAATATCCACAAAGATACAATCAAGACGCAGTAGGCATAATCATCGCCGCTCATCCGACTCGCTTTTAAAATGGAAATGCATTTATATATGTGTACATCCATCCCTGCTACTGCATTTTCCCCATTTACTAGCAAAGCAAAATAGATTGCGGTTAAAAAAAAGCCCAGTATACAAGTCAGGCAGTGGGTTTTTTTTTTCTGACGATATTAACCACCGACAGTCGGCGTAGGCGAATAGCTGGCGAGCCGGAGGGGCAACGGCTATAAAGCGGCCGACGGCACACGGAAGGAGCCGCGACGGCGCAGGGCGATCCGGGCGCTCGATCCGGTGCAGACGCAGCCAGTCGCCACGTCCCCTCCCGCGAAGCCGGATAAGCACAGAAAGGCTCCCCCCTGCGCGATGAGGAGTGCAGGCGAAACGCTTAATAACCCGGCGCTATGCGTTTCGCCATCGCTCGCACTTAACATGCGGTGTTTATGCAGCCGCCAGCATTTCGGCCGCTTTTTAAGGAGCCGATCGCCGATCGCTACATTTTAACAGCTGCAGCGGTACGGGGAAGCTTAACTTAGCAGTAGCGTTTATTGTTTTATGCTTGTCGTTTAGTATACACTGGTTTTAAGGATTGACATTGGTCCGAGATGTCGGTAGACGGGTCCACGATAAAGAGTAGGATTAAAAACCTACTCCGCTCTCCTTCTATCAAGCTGAGGAGGAATAAACCAGGGAACAACAAAGAGAACCTAGCGAATAAGGTACGTAATTCACTTTTTTTTATGGGAATGAATATGGAAAGCGAGGTCGCGTTTAATTATCGGGATATGTCAATTGCAAATGCGGGTAGGCATGCACGCCAGCTGTTCGCACGCCGACTGTTACTTGATAATATCACCTTAACTATACCACTTGTATCAATGCAGTGCATGTAGGATCAGTTTGCCCGCATCCTTATAATTTGTACATCTGTATTTTATTTTTACGAGAATGCCTTGTTTGGGTGTCTTTTTGGGTGGTTCTGGTCCATTTAAAACCCGCTCCGTGCTTTAAATAACCATGTCATTATCCGGCAGAATAATGTTGCATAATTTACAGTGGTGAAGTATAATACTATCTCTAGCTCAAATTTAGTACAAACGCAGTTGCTTTTTAAAATAAGCAACAGTCATATGTTTTACCTTGTCTCCAGGGCACGTGCTTGACGTAGTCATATATAGTATAATCGGTATATTCAACATTTAATGAATGACATATACCTGGATAAGAATATTGGGAAATAAAAGATGGAGCCTGATTTTGCTGTAAGGAATACCTTTTTTGTACCTTTTGCTTGTCATCACCGAAAACGGAGCTTTAGCTTCTGCCCCATTACCATCATTGTGTCGCCGGCGCCTCTGTAAAAGTGCGATGTAAACGGAATTTATAGCGAAGATTTTTCATGGTTACCCGTCTAATAAGCGTTCATTTATCTGTTTTTGAAACCTCTGTTTAGGTCATGTGGCATTTGAATCATTCAGTGATTTGTATGATGACTATGTATGTAGGCCTATGTGTGTGTTTTAATAAGATTTATGGGATATTTATGTACGCTTCAGTTAAGGTGATTTTGTGTGTACGTTATTATACGTAAGGCTTGGTCTGCTTGTTTACGTGTAATGTGGACTTTAGCCTCTTACAGTGTAATTTAACGGCTCACGAAGTCTTGTGTGATCCTTTTCTCCAGTAGGGTTTGTTATTTCCCACCAATAACTTTAGTTCATTGATCCGCCAGTGATGCAGCTGCTCTCCAGATGTGGCGTCGGAGCTGTCATGCAGGATGATCTCTACTGGAAAATATTGCCATAAGGATGGCTCCCTAACTCTCCTAACGCTGTTGACACATAAGGTTATTATTACAGGGTGGCTTGGGGGTTGTCGATCACTTTACATCAGCTTTACATTGAATTTCAGAGGTTTTGCAGCTCCCGCTTTCGGTGCTTTTTCAAATTCTGATCCAGCTTAACCGCTACAGTTTATATGTGGTTAGATTTTGCCTATAGTTGAGAGGCCATTGAGTTTTAATTTTATTCTTCCCTGTGACAATTACCATTTCTCATCAGTAGGAACAGGGATTAGATGATAGACGCAGGGAAAACTCGCTGCCTCTGATCTCATGGATGACTTGAGCAAAGAGGGTCCCCCCTGTGTGTTGAGAGCCAAAGGGGAGATTTGCTTTTCGTCCCACTTGTGGGATTTCTTATTTTATTATTTTTTTTTAATTTCAGGCTTGTGTTTCAGTGTTAGTCCCACGTGGCCTTAGTGCTGCAGCTGATCAGAGCTGCCGGAGTGTGCCCCTTTAAAATCCAGGCAGAAAACTCCTTTAACTTAAAACAAATGTTATAGTCTAATAAATGTAAACAAAACAATACGCTAAATGACATTAAGTCTCTAGAGCCCCTTCCCATGCGCACAAATGCGCGTGATCCCATTTCACTGTCAGCAGCCGCCGCCTTGTTTCTGTACTTCTGTGATGTCACTTCCTGTTGTATTCATGGCTGTTAATTACCAAGTAAGATGTGGCAAAGATTAACTAGTCGAACTAACTTCACTGTTAAATGCAGTGTGTTTTTAAATCTCCTGTAGAGTTCTTTAATTATACAATTGCTCTTTAATTTTAACTGAAGTTTACAAGTAACTGGCAGATGCTTTGGACTCTGTCCCTGAAGTCACTGAGTTATGCTTTCTATCAGAAAGCTGTAGGCTTTACAGAGACTGGCAGAAAGTCCTGGGTGTTTGAAAAGTGCACTGGGCCATGCAGGCCTGCTGGCACCTGGATGGGTTTCAGGAGGAAATTCTGCAGGCTGCAGGGATCCTTTTATTTACTGTGCAGCTAAAAGTCACATAAGGGATTTGAAGCAGGACTATAGCTGCTAGGAGTGACACGTCTCTGCTGTGGCCGGTTAAATGCTTACCGTCAGTTAGTTGTTTAGACAGTTTTGTCAAATGCAGATTTTTCTGGTTTATTCTTAACTTTTTATGGATGTAATTTCAATGCTCAAGTAGGTCACACTGGTATATAAAGAGCCTGTTCTTGGATATGAAACTGGGACCCTTCAGAAGTTGCAGTCGGTGTTGGGTGATGTCCCTCACTGGTGGCATTAACCTGTAGTGTGTTTTTTAAATAAATAAATGGCAATTGCCTGAAATGAAATGGCGGATGCCCTCTGTTTTGGGGCCTTCATTAGAAGGCTGTAGCCAAAGTCTGGAAAAAATGGAGCAGAATCTTTATTGAAACTGTTGGAAAATAAACGGACCTCTTCAGTGTTGCGAAATGGCAGGCTGGATGTGCTAAGTGTACAGCTGCGAAGAGGTGTGATTCGAAGGTTAAAAGTGACAGGTGGCAGTACTCTGATTCTTGTAGCGCGTATGAAGCTGTCTATGTATTTTGGGTGCCGCCCCTGAGGGGTGTCTGCGCAGAATGCCCGTCGCGTTCCCGGAGTTGTCTCTGCTTGCATCCGCAGAGGAGGTGGTGCCTGTGAGGCTCGCATAGAGCTCGAGGTGTCAGACTGCCGTGTTTCACGGGGTGATGTGAGGCTATGGACTGGAAAATGCTGCAGAGTTGGTCTAATGAAGCCCAGGGGACCTGCTGTAAGCGCCTCAGCCTACCGGCACAGCTGTTCACAAGAACGATAATAGCTGACTTGCAGGCCTGCCTTTGTTTTAATGATGTATTTACTGATTCCTTACAAAATTGTCAGAGATAATGTATTTTTTGGTTGTCTGGTATTTTAACTTTTCTCTCAACATTATGTAATAATCATTGCTGTCCTTTGTGACCTTAATTTCTCCTTATTTAGTTGCCCTTTTTTGTTGTTCCATTAGCAGCATTGCTCTGTGGAAATCTTGGCTGGTAATGTTGCCTCCTGACACTTGCAGGACAGGAGCGTCTTACAGGGCGACAGGAGGCCCATGATTTACAAGAGGCTTTCCTTGTAGGTGACTCGGTCAGGTCAGGCATTGGAATAGAGAGGGAGAGACTCGGACTCGGACTCGGACTCAGACTGATTTGTGAGAGTTTCTACCCAGTACTTGTCCTTAGGTTATGGAAAAACATGGTTTCTGCATCGTCCTTGCCCTCAGATGCCTGTCTCTGTGTCCTCCCTGTTTTTAGGGTGTCCTTGTTTTGCTGGAGGTTACTGTATGTGTCTCGGGCAACGGCAAGGGTTTTTGCAGAGGCAGGGATGTCGGCTGTGTGCCCCGTGATGTTTGGGGCCTTTATAGGCACATCATTATTGACCCTTTCTTTTTGTATTTTGAAGTGGGTGCCTTGGTTCTTCAATCTACACCCTGTCTTGTAGAGTGTGTGTATACTGAGATTTCCTATAGTCCGCTGAGTATGTGCTTCCTAGCATTCAGAGTCGCTGAAGCGCTTGTTTCTCTTTTGGCTGTCTGACTCCTGGAGGATATGTTAAGTTCTTACCCCAGTTATCGTGTTGCCGGTGAGTGGGACCTTAATCATTTGCATCTTTTGCAGGTTACTCTGGAGAAGGTGCTCGGCATCACAGCCTCTGGTAACCGCGCACTGGCCTGCGATCCTTGCTCTGGGCTTGTTGCATACCCAGCAGGGTAAGTCCATTTCCCTCTAACCCCGGGAGAATCTGGAGGCTCCTCGTTTAATGTAAAAACAAAGTACTACTAGGGCTGGGCAATATCTTATCGATATTATATCGTGCATGCGCAATAATCACCAGGGCTTCAGATGACAGATGAAGCATTTGGCCAAACGCCAGCTTTTCGGTGCTATATGGACATTTATTTATGCCCATAATTTGGTAATGAGATTACTCAGATTAGTAGTATGGCTTAAATATGAATGAGATGTGTTTTGTGGTGATCTGTATAAACTTTATGTTTCTTAAATTCGATTAGCGGAGCACCCCACATAATACTGTTTTGCTATACTACGGTTTGGTGTTCCTCAGTGCAATATGCACTGAAGTCGCGGTGAAGAAGAGCAGCCACCACATCTTTTAAAAGAGGAGATCTTGTGGATAAACAAGGTAAAAACACGTCGGCGGTGTGGTGGTACTTTTTGCAGTTCAAAGTCTGACACATTTATTAAACATAAGGATATGCAGTATTTATACTAATAATGACTTTTGGACGTCATACAAAGCCTCATTAATATTAGCCATACTACTAAATTGCTTAACAAATTTGGGCATTAATAAATGTCCGTATTTCACCGAAAAGCTGGCGTTTGGCCAAATGTTGCGCCTGTCATCTGAAACCCTGGTGATTATTGCACATGCGCGATGCAATATCGATGTGATATCGCCCAGCCCTAAGTACTACCTATATTGGCCTCCATACTGAAGATGTGAATGGCTGTCGGTACTGTATGGTTTAGGGCTCAGTGCCTGTGTCCAGAAGGTCATGAGTTCAAGTCCCATTGCTCATGTCATCATGTCGCCATTGGGCCTGTGAGCAAGACCCAAAAGCCAGCTGCTCCAAGCACAACATTGTCTGACAGCCAAGCTTTTTTTTTCTTTTCTTGTGTGTCACATTGACCTAATCATCTAAGAGAAACAAAAGTGATGCTTATGGGGTGGGGCTCTATGCTGGAGTTCAGACCGTCTTGGCCCAGATATCCTTCGGAAATGAAGATGTGTATTCTAGCATCGTGGGAAGTGTGGAAGCTGGCGAAGATTCCCCTTCCAATCTCTCTGGGGTTTCTGCAAGTTTCCCATGACAAGGTGCAAAACTCCCTGTAATTAATGCAGAATCACCTGTGTAACCAGAAACTTCGTAAAAAAGAGAGAAATCAAGGTGTCTGGCAGCTGGTGCGACTGACTGAGCATGTTTACCTCAAAGGCTGCTGGGAGGTCTAGCGGAAAGATGAGTAAGATGTATAACTAACTTCTTGGGAGTCCTGGGGGACGGGGGGTGGGCTTGGGCGGGGGTGTTAAATTAGAGCACAGGGATTGATGTTACCAGTGACTGATAGCTCAGCACACCGCCCTCGCAATTGTCCTGATTTTGTTCTTGGAGTTTCTTGAATCTTCCTCCATGTTTGTGTTTTAATTCTCTAAATGTTTAAAATATCTGACAATACCGTTTCAAATCTGAGAGGACTGGGAAGGGTACTTGTCTTTCATAATTGATGTTGAGTTAATGTGGTATTTATCCTTAGGTTTTTACAGTCCTGAGCATTTTTATGCAAGGTTTGCAGTAGTTAATTTCTTTGTAACATGAGTTCATGTTGGAGATCTCTCACTCTGTTTGTAAATGACTGCTTTGCTGTGGAGGGGTTTGTGTGTGAGGTGCTGTTAAATTGAATAATGTTTCTGCTGAATTGGGAGCCACTGAACCATGATTCAATTAAGGTCTATTGATGGTGTGGTGGGTGGAAGGAGGACTGGGGATGAAAATGATTCTCCGTGTGTGTCTGTGTCTGTCTGCGCATGCACACGTGCATTTTCATTGTGAGTCTTTTGCTCACTCTGACCAGGATCGTCCTTAACTCCTCTCCCAAGAACAAAGGGTCATCCTTAGCCCTCACTGCCACAGACAGGACCTCAGAGACTCTTAAACGTGTGCAGTCAGCAGCCGTGTGGTCCTAGGGGATGTCTGTGTGTTTCGGTTCAGTCCTCATAACCCAAAGTACCTCTGCATTCACTGCACGATTTCATCATTTGTACTTCAAAAGCTGTGAATCTGTACATCCAGTTCAAATGTAGGCTTGACTTGTTCTCTCTTGCTGTTTGTGGCAGGCCTTGGGTTCTTACAAACCATGAATTTCCGCTGCCAAAGAATCTCCTCCCAGTTCCTCGAAGTAGTAGAATTCATCAACCGTCCCTAAGTTTACACATGTCCTCTGTTTTGTAATGAGCGACCTGACTATCTGAAATGTAGCCCTGTGATACATTAGCCTTGGGGCTGCATGATATCACATTGCAATTTAATCTCGATTCTGTGACACATTTGTAATAATCACCAGGGCTTTAGATGACAAGCGTAAACATTTGTGTGAGCACCGGCTTTTTGGTACTATATGGACATTTACTTACACCACCAATTTGGTAAGCAGATTAGTAGTACACCTAATCTTAATGAGATGTGTATTGTGACGCCCAAAAGTTAGTAATCGGTATAAATTCGGCATATCTTTAATAAACGTGTTGGACTTTAATCTGCAAAAAGTAGCGCCACACCATCAACATCTTTTTACCTTGTTTATCTACAATATCTCCTCTTTTAAAATATGCTGTGGCTGCTGATCTGTCCCTTTCTTCACCGTGACTTCAGTGCTTATCTCTTCCATGTTATACAGAAGCAGCATTATGTGGCTTGCTCCGCTAACCAAATTAAATAAATTCGCCATGTCCTCATGTTTTTGCTGGTTCAAACTAGGCATACTTCTAATCCGCTTACCAAATTTTGTGCGTTAGTAAACATCCATATACTACTGAAAAGCTGGTGTCTGGACACCCGGCATCTAAAGTCTTGGTGATTACTGAGCACACACCATGAATTCATGATTAAATCGCAATGATATCGTGCAGCCCTACTTGGCATAGACACTTACTGGAGATATCATATAAATATAAATACCTTATGGTCTCCCTGATTGTAGTATTGTGTAGTTCTTACTATATCACTGCTGCATACGGTCAGTGGCCATGTCCGTATGGTGGGAAATGGGGGCTGTTTCCTGCTCCCCTCCATGTGTCATGATGCTGACGCAGCGAGTATGAAAGCCTGTATCAGGTTTTAAAAGAGCATCTGAAACTGCTGCATCAGGTCCAAGTATTTGGCCTTCAAATGTGATTTCTGAGGCTACAGCAGTCCATGTTTTTACTACCCCCCCCCCCCACCACCACCTTCCAGTAGGACTGTCTGTCCTGTGGACTGTCTGACAGAGAGCTGGGAGGGAACAAAAACACGGACTGTCAGGGACCCCAAGCGCCGGGTTGGTAAACACTGGGATTATGGTGCATATTTAACTTTTAAAAAAAAAAAAACGTTCTTGGAAACAGGAGGCCTTTAAGAATAGTGCTAAATTACTCAACTTTGATAGAACGTTTATCAGAGAGTAACAAAGGTACCTTCATGCTAGCACATTGTTCTTCTGTGGACGAGTGTCACCTGCTCCTTAGTTTCTTGTCTAAGCTTGAGGGGGGGAGGGCGGCCTCGAACCATGACTTTCAGATATGGGTGCTGGAAGGCGGCTTCTTCTGAAAGTCTGAGGTGCTTCTAAAGAAATACTTTAGGCTTTCATTTCCGCCACATGGCTCACCGGAGCAACACAAGTGCCTTGGTCGGCCTGGATGCTCTTAGGTCACACACACGGTGTGCTGTGGAGCTCAACCTGCAGAATTGATATGCTTCAGCCCTCAGGTGTAAATCACTTCTTCAGTGCCCTGGACTGACCCCAAAACTTTTTCTAGAATCTCCTCTGGTGTGTCAGTTTAATCTGCCTCGAGTGTCACTCGTAGCCAAGTCTGTTCCCAGGGAACAGCTAAATCCTTTTGGGCTCCCTGTAGAAGGTGAGCCGTCCTCGGGCCGCTGTGCTCCTCTTCCATATGATCGATATGGAGGAACCGCAGGTTTGAGCCTCTGGACTTGACAGCAGTGTATTTTCGGTTATTACATTGCCCTGCCTTGCAGTTTCTGGCGTGGCTGACTGACGTGGTTTTGTTTTATGTGTAGTTTCCTTATCTGTGCTTAATATCTGAGGGGATTGCCTTTATCCAATTATGCTGCTCTAATAAATTGTCCTTTATAGGTTTGTTAATGGCTTCCATTTAGTCCTTATTCATTGTCCCACTGAATCGGCAGTAGAAACTGTGACTGAATATTGGCACAATAGATCCTTTATGTTGAAATTATTAGGATTTTAAGTGGAAGTATTTGTTCAGAATTTTCTGTAGTGGGTCTGACTGTATAATTGAAGTAATTAGTGTAGTATTAATGTGGAGTGTCCTTTTTTACAGCGTTGTGTATGTCTTGCAAATATGTCGGATTTCCGTGCCTTCAGCCTCCTCTTGATTTTGTCATAGTGATAAACAGCCTGGGGGGTTGTGCCCAAGCTACTGAATTCCTCTCTGACAGCATTTATGTTGTAGTGTAATCGGCAATATCTGAAATATTTGCATAGCTGTACAGGTGCTCTGATTTTCCGGCTGTTATGGTGTGTTCTCTCTGTGTCGGTCAGATCATGTGATAAAACATGCGGGTCACCTTTGTCTTTGTGTTAAAAGAAGACTGAGTTCATCACATAGATAAACTAAATATTTGCTTTGGAATTTGTTCCTTGGAATATAAGCTTCTTGTTGCACTGAAATCTCTGGGCTATATGTCAGCAATCATGGTCGTGTTCTGGCCCACAGTTTCACAGCTGAAACGATCGAGGTTTGGCTGTATGCATTTAATTAAGGGGGGGAAAATGGAATTGTCAAGGGAAAGCTCATGTAAATGTGTGTCAGGGTTTCTTTTCCCGAAAGTGGGTCAGGATCACCAAGGCAGGTGGGGACAGTCGCATGCGAAGCTGGCAGCTGCCAGCGTCTGAGGCACGTGGTCTTCGAGGACGATCTCCATGCCGACCCTGCCCTCTGAGAAGGTAG